GTCATCAATGGTGTATTAATCTAAACGCTTTTAGTATGCTAAAAAATAGGTGTTTGTTTATATCCACATGCATTAAACATATTTTATAACATGAGTTGATCAACATGTTGACACGTGGTTTATTTAAAATCACCTGCCTCCTTAATTGCTAAGGCCATTAGTTGTGGATTTTTCCACACATTGTGTGCAACAAACATAAGAGAACCGATTTTTTTTCTGTAAAGAAAGACTAAAGGTGACTGTAGACTTCCATGCATTCGAATATTTCTATTTACGCATCAAGAATGAAACGGTCATACAAACATCTCATGATGTTTCTGTCTTTTCATGCACGTGAATGCAGGAGTTATAAATGATTTCTCTCAATGTACGGTACGTAAACAAACAATCCCCCTACCCCTTGAACTCCTTCCCCCAGTACTCATTGATATGTAATGTATTATGTATTTGTCTGACGGTTTCTTACTGTAGTTGGCGGCATATGAGGCGCACTCGCCCTCCCCCCCCCCAAAAAAAAAAACAAAAAAAAAATACACCGGGTCTTGTATACGAAAGTACGGAGACTTTAACCCTGAATATACCCTGCTGAAATGGGGGTGCGCCTAATGGATCCTATATGTCGTCAAATACGGTACTTTCTTTGTACTATTTTTGTGTACATATACATGCTTTATTGCACATTCTCATTCTCTCCGCTTCCTATGACAGCGGTAACTTTTTTCAAGCTCTACAAACATCAAAGATCAAAACTGGCATTGGTCAAATATGAAAATTTGATGCCTTTTGCGACATGGCTGCAAAGTGGGGGATGTTGGATTGCAATTTTTAGGGATTAAAAAAAATATTCAAAGCATTTGCATATATTCATAAAAACATTTATAAATGTTTATTGCTTATGCATGGTTATTTAAAATCGCCTGGCTCATCAACTGCAAAGATCAATAGTTAACTTATTTGCACATCCACACTTAATGGTGATGGCATATTTGCATAAAAAATGCAAATATCTGAACACATTTTGTTTACAATAGAATTTCTCCATGGAAACAGAAATCAAAATCATCATCATTGTCTGGTTGGAGATTTCTGCCCAACTCGGCTCCCTCTTAGTTGCAATTTGTGAATGTCTTTTATAAGGATGGTTTCCACCTGCAGAATCCATCTCTGCAATCTTCTCTCAAGCAGACTCAGAACACCTTCCCTTGAACAAAGGAAGGAATTGAGCCATTATTACCAGGAAATTTAGCAGTGGAGGCCGCAGCGAATTAGCTTGGCTTAGGATAATAGCCCTGTTAACTGGAGTGGATGACTACAGGTTCCCTTGTTAAATGTAGGAAGCATACCAGGTCCTAGGATTTTTCAACTCACTAGGTCGCGTGTTCCTCCTGCCCCACTCTCTCAGTGACGAAAGGGTACTAATCATTGAGAAATCCAAAACGTTAAGTAGTTAGTATTATGGAAAAAAGTGAAACTTGGTGAAACGAGATGACATAAGGAGGCTCCCTATATAGTTTTCATTTTCTTAGTATTTTTCTTCTTACTTTTATTTCATCATTATTCTTTAAAATTTAATTATTATTATCATTATTTGTATTTGAAAGTGATTTAACTGCTTTCAAGTATATAGGCAGTACTTCAGTGATGTCAACAAATAGCAAAAAGTAGGCCTATTATTGATATTTTTTCTTACATTTTTTTCTCTCTCTCTCTCCAGAAATGGAATCATCCAAGGAAAAAGAACAATTACTTCGGCAAATTGGAAGGGACCTTTACTATACAAAGCAATACATTAGTGGTCAGCTGCAACTACTGAAACAGACAACGAATAGCACTGGTCACTTGGACACCATCCTCGAAGATATGAATGACTACTTCAGGTGGGTTTGTAGTTATCCAGAACACGCGTCTTTCCATGTATACATAATAATTACATATTTACCATTTTGGATTATGGTAATACTGAGGATGTTTGATGCAAGGACTGTATGGGATTATATATCGGTGGAAGGCATATTTATACATTATTTGGTGGAAGTTATGGCAAGAGATACGCGAGTGCCTTATGCCAGGGCCACCCCGAGGGACTATTTGTCATTCGCCAGCTCCGAGGATCTCGTAGTTTATTTGGGCCTCTTTCTCTGCCCCCTGTTAGTTCATCAATTGTCTATTTAACCAAGCATGCTGTGATTTTTTTTTTCGTTAAGGGAGCTGTCTACTTTAAAAAGTGGGTAGAATAACGTTTTTCGACCTTTTAAATGGGGTGTTCAGTATGAGAAGTTTCACCCTTTTACCCAAGTCCCATAAGCTTTCATCAGATGTTTAGGGGGCCTTTCCCTTACTTAATGGCTAAATAATGGTTCTTGTTTGAGTTTATTCTTCTTTTTTTTATTTATTTATTTACTTTTTTTTACAGATCACTTGTTTCTGCGCTGTAGTGACCATTGTGTGAATTGTTTGACGTTGCTAGATAAGACAAAATTTATGGCCATGTGAAAGATTACACGCACGTTTTTCTGGACATCACATTTACTTTTTTTTGTTGTTTATTTAATGATAATAATAATAATCGAATTCAGTGCAATGTTTGTAACATTCATAGTGGTATCAATATTAATATTGATATTCATGTTAATGTTATTATTAGCTTGATTACGATTATGGTTAATAGTTTTTTGAGAGCTTTCAGCTATCATTAATTTCCACAAAGCACATGAAGCTCCTAATAACTTTTTTTTTTTAAAGAGCTTTATCCCCAAAGTATTACTGCCCCCTGTTAAATAATTTTATATTTACTTTAAAAGATTGTATTAGCATCATTGCAATATCATAACATATTTTTGCATCATTTGAAGTTCTTATGCTATATGAAAACATTCTTTTGTAAAATCATTATGTATTTGATTTATGATTAGGGAATATATTTCGAAGGGTGGGGAGCGAAATGTAGTTACTTTTTCACTTAAATATTCATGCCATTTTGATTCAGATGTAATTGGAAAGTAAATTGCATTACCGTAATTTTGCACCAAATCAAGTTCAAGACTCATTTGGTGTATGTTTAATTTTATTTGATTCTAATATTGAGTATAATCGCACAACAAGAAAACTATGTACTTGCTGAATGCTTGAAAAACACTTAGTACAGAGCAAACGGCCTAAAGATATTGTTTCAATGTTTCATCAACAGCAACTATTACTGCATGCTGGTCTGAATGTATGCTAAAATTTTCCTAATTACCATGAATGAATTCCTTGAATATCATTTTTTTTTTCAATTCAGGCTATATCGCATACACGTACATGCATACGTACACGGACACAGATGCAGTGAACAAGTTTATAATTCCAGAGTCCTTCGTCACGACCTGAATCATCTTCGGGACACTGATGGTGCAAGTGAGTGGCGTTGGAAGGAAGCAGAAGCCCTCAGCGAACTGGTCCAGCACCGGATCCACGTCCTCCAGCATCCGAAGGACTGCAACTCCGCCAGGAAACTGCATTGCGAATTCTCCGGAGGGGTTAGTGCTATGGTCTATGTGTGGATTTGTATCTAGTTTTGAACGCTAGGAAATAATAGATCGATTTTTCTAAAATTATTATGAACTGATGCAACAATAAGGATATTTTTTCTTTTCATATTCATATTTCATATTCATTTATCTTTCTGTACGGAAATTCTGAAAGATTAAATGAGGTACGAGTTCCCCAGTAGCAAAAGTACCACACATAGGAGTTCTCCCTGGCACAGAATGGAACAGACCGAGAGAGGATGTCATTCCTCTTTGGTAGTAACTGAGAAGGTACGCAGAAGGGTAGTTAAGATGTATCTAGAAAGCATTTGAGAAACATTAAAAGGGCATTTGAAAAGTACCTGGAAGGGTATTTGAAGTGTACTAGAAGAGGATAATAGAAGTACGTAAAAGAATATTTGAGAAAGATCTAGAAGGGTGTTTGTGATGCATTCGTAGAAGAGCATACGAGAAGTACCTAAGGCAGGCAGAAGGACATTTGAGAAGTGCCTGAAAAGAAAAGAAAAGAAAAGAAAAGAAAAGAAAGGAAAAGAATCCATCTCACCCAAAATTAAGACCATAAACAAAAAAAAAAACAAAAAAAAAAAACACAAATATAGGCTCGAATCCCATAAACTTCGCCTCCATTATAGGGTCGTGGTGTCGGAAGCCAGTTTCACCACCTGACCATCTGCTTCGTGGCGGCCTATGCGACTCAGAGGACGCTTCTTCTGAAAACTGAGGGCTGGTTTAACACTCCAAGAGGTCTCGACACGTTCTTTCTGCCGTTGAGTAACAGCTGTACTAAGGCTGACATGTCTCAGATGGTTTCTTGGCCAGGTGAGTTGAGAGGGATGAGGATGGAGTATAGGGACCGCCGTGTTAATAGTAATCGTTTTTTTTTTGCTATTAACATTCGTGTTATTAGTAGTATTAGTATCATCATCATAACTGATAAGGTTATTATTTGAAAGATGATAATAAATATTAGTAGTGATAATAGGCATACCTGTAATACCATCAGAATTAATGATAATGATAACTACTACTACTCCGACTAACAACGACGGTATTAAATATTAATACATTTTGCGTGTAAAAACTATTCTCGATAATTCAAAACTAGACCAGAGAAGGAAAACGTTGATATGTGTATATTCACGACAGTTATGAAATTTGGTACTCCTTATTTTAATAGTTTTGCTCATACTCTCAATAGTTCAAGCAATAAAGTACACACACACACACATACACACACACACACACACACACACACACACACACACACACACACACACACACACACACACACACACACACACACACACACAAACACACAAACACACATAAACAAATCTAAATTGTTTAATCTTTCCAAGAGTTAATCACAGCTCTCCCTCACCTCTCCCCAACCAGGCACCGACTCCCTCCTGGTGGGAATCTCCAAGAGTGATCACTTGAAACCCAAGCCGTACTCTCCGCTGAAGTCCATTCCCAGGGACCTCTCCGAGCGCCTCTTTCGCCTGCACGGGGACCCCTACGCGTGGTGGGTCGGGCAGTTCTTCAAGTACACGATGAGGATGAATTCCCAGTTCGAGGACTACGTTCGAGAGTTAGCTCGCGAGATCGGATACGAGAGTCCTATCGTTGGGTGCGTTCGATTTGCCGTATTTGCAGCGAAGGAGGACGGATCAATGGAATTTATTTGTCTTTTCCCTCATGATAATGGCCGCACGCGTGTGTGTGTGTGAAATGTGAATACAGATATATCTCATTTAATACCAGTATGTAAACACGGTCCCCTTTCAAAGCAGGTCGGAGAACAAATTGATTTTAAGTTTTTTTTTGTCAATGCGAATTTGATGGAATTTATTTGTCTTTTCCCTCACGATAAAGGCCGCACGCGTGTGTGTGTGTGAAATGTGAATACAAATATATCTCATTTAATACCAGTATGTAAACACGGTCCCCTTTCAAAGCAGGTCGGAGAACAAAAATTTATTTTTAGTTTACTTTTTGTCAATATATTTTGAAGGATACAAGTCAGACGGACAGACAAGACTTCGAGCGGCCTCACCTTCATCCCTCTCAAGAACTTCATGGACGTCGTGGCCGGGTTCTACGACGACCTCGAACTTCGTCAGGAGGTCGGGACTCGTAGGGTCTTCGTGGCGACGGACGACCCTTCCGTGATCGAGGAAGCCAAGGAAAAGTTCGTAGGAGAAAAAAGGGTGTTGATATTTTACTTTGGGTTTTAGGGAAGATTCGTAGTGGAAGCTAAATCAGAGTAAGTAAAAAGTGAAAAATGTTTACGCGCAGATTCTAGGAAAACAAATCTCTCTCTCTCTCTCTCTACACACACACACACACACACACACACACACACACACACACACACACACACACACACACACACACACATATATATATATATATATATATATATATATATATATGGAGAAAGAGAGAAAGAGACACAAACAATCAAACAGAAAAAAGACTATAGCCTAAAACCGATTCTCACTCTCCTCCCAGATATCCCGACTACCAGTTCGTGTACAACGAGGCGAGTATCGTGTCAGCTGACTTGCACAACCGCTGGACCGAGTCGAATCTTCGCTATTACTTAGCGGACATCTATTTTCTCTCGAGGTCGAACTATCTGGTCTGCACCATGAGTTCTAACGTAAGCACTTTTTTATATATATAGATAGATAAATAGATAGTATATATATATATATATATATATATATATATATATATATATATTATCTATATGTATATATATATACAAACACACACACACACACACATACATATGTGTGTGTGTGTGTACGTGTGTATGTATGTATTTATGAATGTATGAAGTTATGCATGCATATGTGTGTCTATATATTTGCGTGCGTGAAGAAGATAGCTAGTATTGATCATGTTTACAACTGCCTTTCCTAATCCACCGCCTCGTCAGTCTAACCTTCGAATCACGGCCTCTGCCCAATCCCCGTCTCTGCAGATGTGTCGGTTCGCCTACGAGGTCATGCAGACAGTGTACCCCGATGCCTCGCTACTGACCAGGGGGTTGGAGTTGCCTTTCTACTTCATGGACGGGCAAGGAGGGCACATTCTCAGGGCACGTTTCTCTCACGTTCCGAGGAGGTCAGTGTTTTTTTTTTTTTTTTGGGGGGGGGGGGGAGTGGATGATATTTCCAAGTCCATGTAATTATTTTTTTTCATTGATCTCCCATTCCATTCCAATGCTCTTATAATTATTTCTAACGATTTAAGCAAAAATAGTTGTTTAAGTGCAACTACAAAAAGCATATGTTTAGTGGAACTTCCATTTCGAAACAATCCACTTCAACCTGAAGGTTTCTTGCCTATAGATAACTACCGCAATATCTAATGTGTAATAAAAAGTTACCAATCACAATCAAAATAGATTATTTTCGTCATTCCGTATCACACGAATACAAAAATGTCATACAGAGAACTTAGCCCTAGAACGCTAGTATATCCTACCCTACAAATGCATTTTTTTCCCTTTACAGAAGCGAAGAAATGGGCCTACAAGTTGGAGATAAGATATCTGTTAGTTTCAAATATTATTATAGAAAACTCCTTGTTGAAAATGGCTTCTTGTATGGTGTGAATTTACGCACTTCAATGAAAGGTTTATTCCCAGTGTATAAAACCGTCGATGTTCTGGATGTGGTTGATTTCTCATCCTTTGAAGAGATTGATAGAATGTAAAATGCCGATGATACACTCTGTTCACGTTCTAGTTTCATATTTTCGTTCTTCTAAATTCATAGGATATATCTGGTTACTGCTGTATCAAACAAACAAACAAACAAACACACACACACACACACACACACACACACACACACACACACACACACACACACACACACACACACACACACACACACACACACACACACACACACACACACACACACACACACACACACACACACACACACACACACACACACACACACACACACACACACACACACACACACACACACACATACATATGTGTGTGTGTGTGTGTGTGTGTGTGTGTGTGTGTGTGTGTGTGTGTGTGTGTGTGTGTGTGTGTGTGTGTGTGTGTGTGTGTGTGTGTGTGTGTGTGTGTGTGTGTGTGTGTGTGTGTGTGTGTGTGTGTGTGTGTGTGTGTGTGTGTGTGTGTGTGTGTGTGTGTGTGTGTGTGTGTGTGTGTGTGTGTGTGTGTGTGTGTGTGTGTGTGTGTGTGTGTGTGTGTGTGTGTGTGTGTGTGTGTGTGTGTGTGTGTGTGTGTGTGTGTGTGTGTGTGTGTGTGTGTGTGTGTGTGTGTGTGTGTGTGTGTGTGTGTGTGTGTGTGTGTGTGTGTGTGTGTGTGTGTGTGTGTGTGTGTGTGTGTGTGTGTGTGTGTGTGTGTGTGTGTGTGTGTGTGTGTGTGTGTGTGTGTGTGTGTGTGTGTGTGTGTGTGTGTGTGTGTGTGTGTGTGTGTGTGTGTGTGTGTGTGTGTGTGTGTGTGTGTGTGTGTGTGTGTGTGTGTGTGTGTGTGTGTGTGTGTGTGTGTGTGTGTGTGTGTGTGTGTGTGTGTGTGTGTGTGTGTGTGTGTGTGTGTGTGTGTGTGTGTGTGTGTGTGTGTGTGTGTGTGTGTGTGTGTGTGTGTGTGTGTGTGTGTGTGTGTGTGTGTGTGTGTGTGTGTGTGTGTGTGTGTGTGTGTGTGTGTGTGTGTGTGTGTGTGTGTGTGCGTGTGTATGTATGTATTTATGAATGTATGAAGTTATGCATGCATATGTGTGTCTATATATTTGCGTGCGTGAAGAAGATAGCTAGTATTGATCATGTTTACAACTGCCCTTCCTAATCCACCGCCTCGTCAGTCTAACCTTCGAATCACGGCCTCTGCCCAATCCCCGTCTCTGCAGATGTGTCGGTTCGCCTACGAGGTCATGCAGACAGTGTACCCCGATGCCTCGTTACTGACCAGGGGGTTGGAGTTGCCTTTCTACTTCATGGACGGGCAAGGAGGGCACATTCTCAGGGCACGTTTCTCTCACGTTCCGAGGAGGTCAGTGTTTTTTTTATATATTAATGTATTGATACATCAAAGTACATTTTAGATTTTAACAATACACCCCAAGCCTTAAACGAAATCAAACTGGCTGAAATCGATAACAGTTTAACCAAAGTGAATATACATCAGTACAAATGGATAACAGTTATAGAGAACAAACGCAAGTGTTGTCAAGCCACATTTCCGAAGTGTTTTTTTTATATATTAACATATTGATATATCAAAGTACATTTTAGATTTTAACAATACACCCCCAAGCCTTAAGCGAAATCAAACTGGCTGAAATCGATAACAGTTTAACCAAAGTGAATATACATCAGTACAAATGGATAACAGTTATAGAGAACAAACGCAAGTGTTGTCAAGCCACATTTCCGAAGTGTTTTTTTTATATATTAATATATTGATATATCAAAGTACATTTTAGATTTTAACAATACACCCCCAAGCCTTAAGCGAAATCAAACTGGCTGAAATCGATAACAGTTTAACCAAAGTGAATATACATCAGTACAAATGGATAACAGTTATAGAGAACAAACGCAAGTGTTGTCAAGCCACATTTCCGAAGTGTTTTTTTTTATATATTAACATATTGATATATCAAAGTACATTATAGATTTTAACAATACATCCCCAAGCCTTAAAATCAAACTGGTTGAAATCGATAACAGGTTAACCAGAGAATATACATTAGCGTAAATGGATAACAGTTATAGAGAACAAACGCCACATTTCCAAAGTATTTTTTTTTTATATATTAACATATTGATATATCAAAGTACATTTTAGATTTTAACAATACACCCCCAAGCCTTAAGCGAAATCAAACTGGCTGAAATCGATAACAGTTTAACCAAAGTGAATATACATCAGTACAAATGGATAACAGTTATAGAGAACAAACGCAAGTGTTGTCAAGCCACATTTCCGAAGTGTTTTTTTTATATATTAACATATTGATATATCAAAGTACATTTTAGATTTTAACAATACACCCCAAGCCTTAAACGAAATCAAACTGGCTGAAATCGATAACAGTTTAACCAAAGTGAATATACATCAGTACAAATGGATAACAGTTATAGAGAACAAACGCAAGTGTTGTCAAGCCACATTTCCGAAGTGTTTTTTTTATATATTAACATATTGAAATATCAAAGTACATTTTAGATTTTAACAATACACCCCCAAGCCTTAAGCGAAATCAAACTGGCTGAAATCGATAACAGTTTAACCAAAGTGAATATACATCAGTACAAATGGATAACAGTTATAGAGAACAAACGCAAGTGTTGTCAAGCCACATTTCCGAAGTGTTTTTTTTATATATTAACATATTGATATATCAAAGTACATTTTAGATTTTAACAATACACCCCCAAGCCTTAAGCGAAATCAAACTGGCTGAAATCGATAACAGTTTAACCAAAGTGAATATACATCAGTACAAATGGATAACAGTTATAGAGAACAAACGCAAGTGTTGTCAAGCCACATTTCCGAAGTGTTTTTTTTATATATTAACATATTGATATATCAAAGTACATTTTAGATTTTAACAATACACCCCCAAGCCTTAAGCGAAATCAAACTGGCTGAAATCGATAACAGTTTAACCAAAGTGAATATACATCAGTACAAATGGATAACAGTTATAGAGAACAAACGCAAGTGTTGTCAAGCCACATTTCCGAAGTGTTTTTTTTATATATTAACATATTGATATATCAAAGTACATTTTAGATTTTAACAATACACCCCCAAGCCTTAAGCGAAATCAAACTGGCTGAAATCGATAACAGTTTAACCAAAGTGAATATACATCAGTACAAATGGATAACAGTTATAGAGAACAAACGCAAGTGTTGTCAAGCCACATTTCCGAAGTGTTTTTTTTATATATTAACATATTGATATATCAAAGTACATTTTAGATTTTAACAATACACCCCCAAGCCTTAAGCGAAATCAAACTGGCTGAAATCGATAACAGTTTAACCAAAGTGAATATACATCAGTACAAATGGATAACAGTTATAGAGAACAAACGCAAGTGTTGTCAAGCCACATTTCCGAAGTGTTTTTTTTATATATTAATATATTGATATATCAAAGTACATTTTAGATTTTAACAATACACCCCCAAGCCTTAAGCGAAATCAAACTGGCTGAAATCGATAACAGTTTAACCAAAGTGAATATACATCAGTACAAATGGATAACAGTTATAGAGAACAAACGCAAGTGTTGTCAAGCCACATTTCCGAAGTGTTTTTTTTATATATTAACATATTGATATATCAAAGTACATTATAAATTTTAACAATACATCCCCAAGCCTTAAAATCAATCTGGTTGAAATCGATAACAGGTTAACCAAAGAGAATATACATCAGCGTAAATGGGTGACAGTTATAGAAAACAAACGCAAGTGTTGTCAAGCCACATTTCCAAAGTATTTTTTTTTCTATAGACATTGTAAGGTATAGTTTACAGAACACCCTGGTTTTTGAAAAGATAGGATTGGTTATGCTTTTTTCCGATGAATCTTTTATAGGAAAAGTATACTTGGGTATACATGTTTAAACACAATAGCACAGTATAAAGGCTCGCAGCTTATTTCTTTATCACGGTAAATGCCAGACTTGATCGTAGTATTAATAATATTCATGCTCCATCTATACTTGTGCAGCAGGCATGGTGGTTCAGTCTAGTGGAGTATAGGCCAGCATACCAGAACCAGAAAACAGTAACTGTGTATTATGCACCAAATCTAACTCAGCCAAACCAAGGAGGAATATTGCATACGATGAAGTTGCAATATCCATGATTCCAAGCGAGGTATCCATTAGCTTGATATGAGTTTGTCCTGAGTGTTAGTTATTGAGTTATTTAGTCGGAGGGAAACTAATATCCAGACAAAATCCTTGAACTCAATTATAATTAATTTAATTATAAATAAGGTGCATGGTGTGTGGTAATTAAGAAGATAACCCCGTTCATTAACCATCCTTGATTGAAACACCTTCGAGACTGAAATTCAGAAAATGAAATTCGTGAAGCACAAAAACCTCCACAAGTGTGAAGGCATACATTAAAAGTTCCTTCAATGATATACGTAATAATCCATTTCTTCGCGCATGAAAAGAAAAGAGATAAATAAATAAAAAAGAAAAAAAAAGAAAAAAAAAAAATCAGTTATCCAAAGTGCCACTAATTTAATAATTATTTTTTTCCTTATTATTCTTCCTTGCTTTATTTACTACTACTACTACTACTACTATTAATAATAACAACAATAATAATAACCACAATAATAATAGTAGTAATGATAATAATACCATGGATTATCGATATAGACCATGTGGTCGTCAGACTTTTGTATATTTGTAATTTATAAAACTGTTATTAGTTTTTTCTCCCATCACCACAATGAAACATTAAACAGGGTTCATGCTATTACGTCGTTTAAACAGGTCGTGCTTTTTTTGAAGTCGCATATCATTAACCCATGTAGCTAAATGTGTACCGACTTTACATATACAGTCATACGTAATTTTAGTAAAATGTCATTTGGCTCTACTGCCTTCTATCAGCTCAGTTGCTCAATAATAACCAGTCATTATTCTCCTCTGCAGCCGACGCGGATATGACGTTGGAAACCATGTCTTTAAAATCTGCGTCACTTCAAAGCTGTTCCTAGCGGGCGGAGTTCCATGACTGTTTGACATGACTGGTCAAAGAAAATATCGTTCTCTCTCTCTTTCTCCATCCCTCCCTCCCTCCACCCCCACTCTCTCTTTCTCTCTCTCTCTCTCTCTCTCTCTCTCTCTCTCTCTCTCTCCCCCTCTCTCTCCTCTACCTCTACCCCCTTCTCTCCCCTCCCCCTCTCACTCTCCCTTTCCCTACTCCAC